CTTCTATTTTCTTTATTAGGAGGACAACTGAGACTGATACAATTCAGCTCCTCCAGAAGTCCTGCACTCTCTACAATTTCAACAGCATTTATCAGTATGTAAGCTCAGTAGGCACTGTCAAAGACCCTCACATTTAGAGGATTCAGAATTGAGTGACTCAGTGTATGGCCTAGAGGTGGTGACTCAACATTCTCCCCTCCCTGTTCCACCACTCTGTTCACCTTCTGGCTCTTGGGCTTCATACCTGTATGACCTTGGAAAAACAACTTGACACCTCAGTTTCCTCTCCTGTAACGAGAGGGGACCTGGTTAGCTTGCCTCAGGAGTCTCTTCCACCTTGAAATCCATGCTTCTATTATTACTGCTTAGGTACAAGGTGGCTTTTAAGCACAAGATGACTTACAGTCACGGGGGACTGTTTTTGTTTTCTCCGTGACCTGCCATGGCCAGTGAACTCATCACCAAAAGGCCAAACTATTGGTCATGAGCCTACCTGAACCTAATGGTGCCTTTCTCCAGAAATCAGATGTAGCCTGTTGAGGGGACTTTACTAGAAGCCTTTCCAGAATGGGGGAACCTTCCAGAGCTGCCATCCCAGCTTCACAGCCTTTGGCACCTCTGGGTCACAGCCAAGCCTAGATGAGGTATCATAGCTAGTATTGTGATCCAAATGACACATTCCTTGTCCTTGGTGAGCTTGCATTCTTCTATAGCTTCTCTGTTCTCACCAGCAAGCAGAGTCAAAGATGAGTGAAGGTGATAAGATGAGGCCCATTTAGAGACAGGCTCTAGAGGCCCAGGCTCCTAAAATTAAAACCCCAGAAGTCTTAAAACCTAGTGTTTGCAGAGCCCATCATGAAATCATAGCACCCCAGAACCTCAGAACCCAGCATAAGAGACATCCTGGGGGGCAGATAGGTGGCGCAGTGGTTAGAGCACCAGCCCTGAAGTCAGAAGGACCTGAGTTCAAATCCAGCCTCAGACCAAACACTTGACTCTTACTAGCTGTGTGACCCTGGGCAAGTCACTTAACCCCAATTGCCTAAAAACCAAAAAAAAAAAAAAGAGAGACATCCTGAAAGTGTCCATACTGAGCATTTTCTCTTGTCTCTTGGTCCCAGAGGGCACAGTTGAAAGCAAGGAATGGAATCTGTAGAGAGGTAAATTAAATTGGGGCAGCTGGGGGCACCATGGTGCAAAGAGTGTGTGGTCCTGGAGCTGGAAAGACTCAGCTTCCATGAGATCACATCTGACCTCAGACCCTTACCTATGTTACCCTGAGCAAATCATTTAATCCTGTTTGCCTTGGTTTACTCCTCTGTAAAATGAGCTGGAGAAGGAAATGGCAAACCACTCCTGTATTTTTACCAAGAAAACCCCAACTGGGGTCAAAATAAGTCAGATAAAATTGAAATGACTAAACATCAAATTTCAGATTTGTGGCATTTAAAAAAGTTGGAAAGACATAACTTCTGGGTAATTTAATCATTTTATTAGTAAGGCCAATATGTTTATTAATAAAAAGATGGTCATTTGGCCATCTCTCTCAGTCCAAAGACCCTTCATGGCAGTGGGCTCACAGCTTCTAATCCCATATTAAATAACAAATGTAAACAAAATCAGATTTCCCATTAGGGTAATGCAAGATAGCTCATAAATTACTACTCTCTACTAATGTAACTGACTATACTGAAATCCTTTTCCTTAAAACATAAAGAAAAGAGGTTCCTGACTTTAACTTCACAATTGAATAGATTCATATTTTTGTTTCACAAGCTTCTCATTCTGAAAGAACTGAATTTTATGCATGTGAGAAGTTCAAGCACTAAGTTAACTCTTGCTGAGGCCATGGAATGACTACAAATTGATAGCAAAATAGCAAAATTTTTCCCACTTACAGTTTATTACAGTAATTCAGATGCCTTAGTATTAGTCTAATAACTAATTGATTTAGCATTGCAATAACAAACTTTCACTGTTTGTCTTCCCTGTTCATAGAAGTTTGCTATGAGAGTTATAAGCAGGGACAGGGTTATAACAGCCTCAAGGCCTACATCACTATAAGTATTCTAGTATATGGAACCAGGCAGACAGATTTCTTATATGGGAAAATGAATTAAGAAGAGTCCAAAAGTGGATGGAGCTCTGGCCTTGGAGTTAGGAGGACCTGAGTTCAAATCTGGCCTCAGACACATGACACTTACTAGCTGTGTGACCCTGGGCAAGTCACTTAACCCTGATTGCCTCACCAAGAAGCAAAAAGAAGAAGAAGAAGAAGAAGAGTCCAACCTTAGCCTTCCCAAGGTAACCTCCCTACCTAATTCCCAGGGAAAGATATTCACCAGCCTTAGATCTTAGATGTTGCTTCCAATGAGCTGCTAACTTTTTCTTAAAGAGTTCATTTAAAATTGGCCCAAGGACACAACAAACCTGAGAAAAAAAACTGAAAAAGAATATTCAGGGTCCCAAAAAAGCTTTCTCTTCAAACAATAAAGTCTCACTCATCATAGTAGGTCTGGACACAATTGTTGTCAATACCATCAAATTATTGCAACAAATCAGCTTAAATAAAGTTTAATAGGCCTTCTAAAAACCACACAAAGGATTTTTACTTTAAAAATGCACACAAAAGATTTTACTTAAACATTTCTTCCTGAAAGTATTTCCCTTTTTTAAAAACAGTTTAAAAAGTATCCTGATATTAAAAAGATAATCACTGAATTTTCATGAGGTAAATTTCTAAAATTTAAATATTTAATTTTAATTTAATTTAATTTAAATTTAAGTCTAAAATTTCTAAATAGGTGTCTCTCTCTTATTCAATCTTAAAGCAAAAAAACTTTAAAACTGGAAGTTATCAAAATTAAGTTGGTACAAATTGTCTTTAAGTATCATAAATAAATCCTAAAAAGTACTATGACAAAATAAATTCCTAATTACCACAGAATTCTTAGTTACCACCCTCCTCTCATACAAAATTGTTTACAATGAGGAGGAGAATAGGTTTTTCTATGTGAAGCAATGCCAATAAATATACTCAATTAACTTAGCCTATCACAATACCAAAGTTTGACAGACCTTTAAAAATTTGCTCAATAGTTGGGAACTGATCCAACCATTCCAGAGAACAATTTGGAACTATGTCCAAAGGATATAAAACTATGCATACCCTTAGACCCAGTCATAGCACTTCTAGGCCTTTATGCCAAAGAGATCATAAAAATGGGAAAAGGACCCACATGTACAAAAATCTTTACAGCAGTTCTTTTTGTGGTGGCAAAGAATTGGAAATTGAGGGGATGCCCATCAGTTGGGGAATGGCTGAACAAGTTGTGGTATATGAACATAATGGAATACTACTATTCCATAAAAAATGATGAACAGGCAGACTTCAGAAAAACCTGGACTTACATGAACTGATGCTGAGT